TAATAGAGACCTATTTATTCTGCTGTAGATATTTATTTGTCAGATAAAATAACTTCTAAATAGAAACCAAAATGCACTATGTGAGGTCAACAAAGTAGAGTTGCTTGACCACAAATGTCATGTTTTCTTGGAGGAAAAGTGTATGACAGAAAATTATTTTTTTCCCCTCCAGTCTTGCCCAATTCCAGCAACTGTGAGCACTGAAGAAGCCCCACAGAATCTTTTCTGGATTCCAAAGAAACTTCCTCTAGCACCTTGGAGGCTATTAGGTCTGCTCCAACTGGAAGAAAGTTCCTATGTTTCTCCAGGTGCCAGTCTCAACACTCCTATTATCAAAATCTACATCCCTGGGCAGAACCAAAGCATCTCCCACAAGAAGCTGCTTTTAAGCCAAGCAGATGGTCCTTCATCCCCCAGTACCCAGCGCACTGCAATGCTCTGGCCAGGAGGACACAGACAGCTGGGTTTCCCAGCCCCTGTCAAGTCACACTTTAAAAAAAATGTTCCACTTTTGTATAGAAAATCAAGTAAGCTGAATGTCCATCACAAGAAGACTGGCAAATCTGCAAAAAAACCACCAGGTGATGAAAGACAGACTTCACTGCTCTCTGACCAAAAGGGAGGTATTTTCACCAGTGTGGGAGGTGGGGAGAGGGAATTGCTTGTACCAACTCAAATTGTTTTGCTGAAAATGCAAAGTAACCAATAAATCAAGACATAAAGTACCTTCAGTAACCAGGAAAGTGTTTGGAGACTCATAAACAAGGCAGTCCCTTGTGAGAGCATCTGCATCCACCCAACTGTTTCAGAACTCCATTTGCAGGACCAAACATAAAAGGCATCCTTCAGGGAGAAGAGGACATACAGAGGACAGACACACTGATCACACACATACAGAGGATCTACACTGATGACTAACCCTTTTACAACCAACAAAGCCCTGGCTAACACATCACATCAGGTGTTACCTTATGACACAACTACTTCCAGGATTTTTGACCAGTTAACCAGAAACAGCTAAGCACAGGTCTGTGCCACACAAGGATGCAAACAGCTAATAGCTACAAGCTGTGTGGCTGAGACATACAGGTAGACCAGGACAAAGGCAGATATTCCTCAGGATTATCAGGCCATGGTATATAGTTCTTGGAGCATATTCAGTGGCAATATATAAAAGCTTTTTACCACCCTTCCTCTTAATTCTGCAATTTTCACTGCTCCCTGTCTAACTATAAGGGCTGGGGCAACAGCTCCACGAGGAATTTACGCAGGTATGGACAAGAAGAGCAAAAATGGGGTGAGGGAAAGCAAAGTATACATTCACTTGAAAATGACAGCTGGGTGTATCCTTTGTACTCAAGGACACTTCCACCAGCCACTAGTCTCCTCTCACACAGCTGTTTCCCAATCCTTGAACCAAGCCACTCCAGCCAGCCATTCACCCTGGGAGGAAGTCCACATTGATTGAGTCCCTTTATAGGACCCCCAAGCTTTAAAACGCTCTTTCCAAGTGTTTTAAGACAAGGTGTTTCTTTTCTCGGAATGGAAAAGAAAGCCTATTGTCACTAAGATAAAAGGTCCAATCTGCATCTTTCTTTTGCTCAGTACCTCTCCATACTGGGAGGGATGCCAAAGAGCAGGGTAACATTTTAAGCCTGTGTAAACACTTTGTTACCAGCAGTTCCCTAAACTTGTCTGCTTCCTATCAGTGCTCTTTAGGTAAAGAGTAACCATCTGCCTGAAAGAATTATTGTTCCTCACTGCTATGTAAAAAGCCAAGTTACTTATTTTTATCTGATGGCACGTCCTTCCTATTTCTTTTAGACCTAGTTCTGTTAGTCTTGGGAGACAGTATCTCTGTGAATAGTTTAACTCTTCTCAAGCCAATTAACAACATGAATGAGATGACAAGTTTTCACAGCCAATCTCACAAGGCAGCCTGACATCTTGTTGATTGGTGCAGTGTCCCCAGTGTCTCCAGGAGAAGGTGCTGGGATAACTGAGGAGGCTCTGCTGTACTCTATTTCTGTTGCACCCTTCAACAAATCCACCATGCCCCAGCTTTTCAGCCTCAGGCTGGGACTAAGTGTTTTTGCTCCTTAATAAATCTGTTGTTGGGATGAAACATGATGAGGTATGTTAAAATCTCCTGGAAAGAGCTGCAGGTTTGTAAAATCTTGGTTTGTATTTGTGACTTTGGCTAGTATAAATACATAGTTGCAATTAAGTAACACAGACATAGGATTTACCTTTGAATCAGAGCATGAACTATGACCTACAAATTCCAGAGTGATTACAAAATATCCAATGAACTTCATCTACTACCAAGTGCTCAGAAATTTAATGTTGGTGTGATAACATAAGGATTAAGAGCGGTCTTGGAAGAAACTCCTGTGGCTTTGCCTCTTTCATAGGTACCCATTGCTTGAGAGATACAGATTATGGTTTCTAGGGTAACTAGATGCACACACACGCGCACACACACACAAACACATAAAAAAGGACACATTGTCTAGTTTGGTTTCCTGACAGTGTCAGGGCATTTTCTGGCCAGTAGCATTGCCTAAACATGATTATGAAAGAGATTTGTAATATATTTAGCCACTTACTTTAATTCACAGTCACGCCTTATGTACCATGTTTTGTTTTAAGGGTAATTCTCATATTTAAATGTACAGTTTCTAACAAACAGTGAAACTTGAAAGTTCACAGACCATTATTAAAGACACACAGAAGACAGATGGTCTTTGTGTACATTGTGTATGTGCATATGTTACTACTGAGTGAGTTTGTACTTGGCTTTGTGTCACACACAAACATGAAAATTGGAATAAACATAAGACTTTTCTATAGTATTTATATTTCTGTATGGTTTACATGCATACACACACCCAGATGACAGACCATTGCAGATCACAGCCTTTCACACTATGGAGGCGAGTAAATTGTGTGGGTGTAAGAGGTGTAAGGGCCAAAAATGAGGCCATGCTGGGTAAAACTGTGCACTATTGATTCTTTATAACAGAATTGTAATTTGGTGTTTGCCAGCCAGGGTTATGGGCACATGTATGTGTTCCCATCTGCACACTTGTGCTGTGGCTCTGATAGAGTTCTGCTCCATTTTCCTTTTTTTAAACCAGACACCATGCACCTGCTGCAAAGCCCACAAGGCACTGTTACCAGCAAGGCTTTGGGCACACCGAACATTTTTCACCTACAGCGGGGACATTCCTACCTTCTTCTCTCTGCACTTCCAAAGCTGCATGACGCCACCTCTTCAGGACCCATCTTTCCCACCTGACAAGGTCTGTGTCACTCAGAAACAGCATTTCTTCCTCCCTCCACCTTCATCAGCATTTAGGTCATTGATGCTGGGTCATACAACCAGTTATCAGTCCGCCCAGCTATCAAGGACCTAAAGGTGATGTTACTCGTGTTCTGGCTGGGACAATGGCAATATATCAAACTTTATTTGGCTGTGTTCCCAGGCACAGAACTGTCAGTTCTGCTCAATCATTTGAGAAGCCCCAGCGTGGTTTTGGCCCGTGCAAACTTGCACTCCTCTGTAGTGTTCCTGAGTAGGGTTCAGGAGCCAGAACACTCCAGCAGCCACTCTAAGCAGTTTGTATGCAGCCACCCTGTCTTGCCATGACAAGGGGCTGCTCAAAGTGCTCAAGGCTGTTTCCTGCCAGCTGGCCACCATGCCAGACCATCCCCAAGCATATTCAATTTACTAGCATAAGCAGGGCCTTTGAGACTTACAGGTCAGGGCTGATCACCCCATGATGCTTGATGAAGCCACGGTCAATGCGAATGAGCTGGGGTTTTTTTCTAATCATTCAAGGCATTTAGTTTCCATACTTATTATGAATAAAGCAAATGTCTTGCAGATGTCTGGTACAGATCATCAGTTGTTTAAAACCTAAATGTAATTTTTTTATTACACTCTCACCATAAATATCAGGTCCTCCAGTATGAGAAAACTTCCAAGCAAAGGAGTTTGAATCCATGACCAAACAGAGTAAGTAATCCAGTGCCCTAAAATGACATCAGCTGAATCAGTCTACAGTAGTTCATGCACAGTGCTGCTGTAAGTGTCCCATGCCCTGGTGAAGTCCAAATAAAGGAAAGCAACCCAGATTACTCTCCAGCAAAGAGCTTTCAATAAGCACTGAAACTAATTAAACCTTACCTTGTTCCATGGAAAGGCTGATTTCTTCTGGTATTCCTCAAATTCAAAGATTCTCTAAGTATCCCACTCCCCCATCCAGAACAGAACATGGCAGAACAGGTTAACCAAGTTCTGCCAAGGCCAGAAAGCAATTTAATACTATGACCCCAACTCTTTTGAGCAAAGAAAGACCATGAAGAAACCTGTGGCTTTTCACAAACAGGGCAGCTGCAGGAGTTTTAAAAGAGGTTGTTTAGAAGATGTCGAAAAACTTGCTATTTTATATTTGGATGGTATTCAGCTAGACAGGTGCTAAGCCAATGCAGAAAATCAATTGTATTAAAATGGCATTTAAACAAAAAACCAACCAAAAGAACCACTACCATGTATACACAAAAAGATAAGATGAAAAGTTCAGAGTTTGACTATAGATGTATATAGAACAGTTGGAATGTTTTACATGCAGCCAGCATTTTCTGACTTGAGAATAATTAGAATGGATTCAAGATGCCTAATTCCACTTCCAAGTGGTATCAGGCACTAAACTACTGCAAGCACCAACAACTTGCATTTCCTGTTCTTAAATGTTTTGAGGCTCTCTGAGTTTTAACTGCTGAACTTTGAGATAGAGATCATAGTAAGAGCAGCAGAAGAGAACAAAGGGAAGGAAAGCGCAGCTAAAGCAGAAGCTTAAACCAAAGCATTTAATTGCATGTTGCTGATGTGCTTCTTTTAAGAGGACATAAAAAAAGGGCATTATAAAGGATTCAAAGCATTTAAGGGTGAGGAAAGAGGGGAGGAAGAGACAACACTTCAAATAAACATTCCATGGAGAGGAAATATCTAATAATTTATTGACCTTCAGTTTCACATTGTGAAAAAAGTGAGTTTTACAAAATATTAAGACATAGTAGCAAACAACATAGACAGTTTTACTTCTACTACTTGTAGTTTTCTTTTAGCACATGAACCACATCTTCAATGGCCAAGAATGGGATTATTCTGTTCTAATCACTCTTATTCAGACAGGTGTCAGACATATAGAAAAGGGGCTGCACAATTATACCAGAAGAGGAAGGCTGTCCTTTGTTACATGTTTCTACAGTAACCAGCCTGCAAAAAAAGAGGAACCTTCCCATCTTATGCCAGGGTTTTTGTGTGCACTCTGCTGTGAACTGCATTTGCTTCTAGGTCTGGGGTGTTTCACAGGACTGAAATGGTCAAGTAGCTAGCCAGGATTCCCACAACAATTCATCGAGCAAGAGTATTCCCTGCAGAGCCAGAGGCCCACCCTGACTTCAGTTTCCTTCAGCCTACACACAGGAATTAATTGAGGACTTGAAAGCAGACCACAAGTTTGGAAACAGCTGCAGAAAATTCATCCCACTTTTGGCAGCTGCATGGTGCTACAAAACATTTCATAAGCTAAATAGTCAGATGCAAGGCAGCTTCACCTCTGGACTCTGATCAGCTTGTCAGAGAACACAGATCTCAAAGCTACATGTCCTTATTCAAACACAGGGGCCCCTGGAGACCCAGTTCTTTACTTCCTTGTACCTTATGTAATTGCTAGTGCCTGGGGAGAGGACATGCAAAACACAGGAAGTCTGATTTTATGGCTCCCTTCACACTCCTGAGCGTGATCCACAAGATGAAAGGCAACAAAAATTCACGGCTGTTTGCTTCAACATGGCAACCTGTGCAGCTACAGGGATATAGAAAGGAGACCTATCCTAATCTGTTTTCCTAGCGCTAAAGGTCATCTAAAGGGGGCCAGGATAGAGAAGCTTTGAGTTTAAATACTTTTTTACTCTACCACTTCAAGGAATCAGTTTCATCAGTGGAACTATAATTTTACCACATCTAGCTGGAACTCACCCTTTTAAAAACTGCAAATGACTGCTGATTAATCAATGTTCTCTCAGTACTCACAGAACTCCAAATACTTTATTTCTGAAATGTAAAGAGTCTACTCCAAATAGCAAATCAAATGTAAGGCAGCGCAGAGAAACTTCCAGTGACCAGTGTAAACACTTTCAGATGACAAAGCTTTCACAAATACAGCTACATCACTGTCACAAAGAAAGGCAAGCATCACATGTATTTTTGTTTTGCATGCAGACATGCAGCTGTTTACTTATACCACAGCACACACCAACCATGTTACTGAATGTGCCAGTTAAATTGGGCTCTAGAAACATTTAAGAAAAAACACAATACAATACCAGCTTCATGACAGGATACGGCAAAGAAAGTACCTGTGAAACACAAGCTTCTGAAATTCCTAAGAAAAAGAGTAGCTTCATCTATGTCCAAAGACCAGAATAATAAGTAACAATTTTATTTAAATATCAAAGTTTGGTTTCTCAGGATTATCTGAGACTTCTGAGCAACCAAGTGATTAAAGACACACCTGGATAACAAAAATAAAAAGCAGCAGAGTTTGAGGGCTTTTTTTTTGTTTTTGTTTTTTTTTCAAGATAAGAGGTTTGAAATTCATTTTCTATCCCCATAAGAATTTTTCTAGAGCACTTGGGTCTTTGACATCTGGCCACTCAGATGATCTGAGATCCAGATGAATGAGGCAGTCAGTGCAAAATTGCTGCTCTTTCTTCCTTTTTTTTTTTTTCCTTAAGACTTCATCATTAACCTATGTTGAGGTTTTTTTTGTTTTTATTCTTGAATCACCGTTCTCCACTCCTTCAGGACAATGTGGCTATGTTGTACGTAACCCTCCTCCAACCCAATAAATAAATAAATAAGCTTGGACAATGACTTCATCTGGGCTTGGTATCCAGAAGCTCTTCCACAGTATTTGCGTTGCAATCAGGAAGCTGCACAAAGCAAGTGTTGCAAGAGACTTTGGCTATTTCCAGGTTAGAAATTGAAAGGCATGACCAACAAATGAAATGTTGCAAGGACACCATCTACAAGACACACCACATGCAACCTGGGGAGCTGGTGGCCTGAGAAAGTGACCTCCATGGCTTCTTCCTTTAGTACATGTATAATTTAAAATCCTGTCTTGTAATCCTTCCATTTCCGACTGGGAAGCCACTCCTCCCTCCCACCTCCAACTGTTACCCAATAGTTTTCTTTCTTTGTGCAGCAGAGCAAGTCAGCAATCACAATATGTGCAAAACATACAATTCACACAAGCCCTTGCAACATGAAGACAATTGCAAGCATTGTTTCAGCATGCAAGCACTGAACAATAAATAACTATATCTACAACAAGTAACATAATAGGAAAGGGACAGACTGAAATATAAATACAGGGAAGAACAGGAACAATGAGCATTTTGGGGATGTAATGTTTGTTCCCCATTGTTGCAAAAACATTTCACCACTGGACTGGTCCTTATGAAGCAGAAGGTCACTTACTGCACACAGGACAATGCAACATGGTGTAACAGATGCTGAAGGCACTGCCCACAGGCAAGCACACTCCAGTCAGCAGAGTTCAGCAGCAATGCTGCTGTATCTTCATTCACAGCAGCATCTTGCTGTTTCAGATCTGGCCTGCTTCCCCTGCAGCTTGTGCTGGCACTTCAAACCACCACAAAGAGAGATGACAACCATTTCAAATTTCACATAAAAACAGTGGACTTTGAAGGACTGATTAACATTGGCATTAATCCACAATTACTAGCACAAGGACCAAATCTCAGGTTTGTCCATTCATATTTAAACCACATGTTGAAGCACTGAAGACACTGGTTTCTTCTCCCATTCCTTCATGTCTAGGTTGGATAATTTACAAGGTGCAGATGATCTTCTTCAAATGCAAAAGATGTTTAACAATTTTTCTTCATTAAAATGTCTCCAGATCTGAGGTTCCAATTCTCTTCTCCAAATAAAAGAGTAAACTAAAAGCATGGGAAGAGGTGGAGGGAAAGGAGAGAGAAATTACTTTAAAGGTTTTGCTGCAACAATATACCACAAGGTCTTTGTTAGATGTGAAAGAAAACCTAAAAGCTAGGCTTAGGATACAACCCAGTTGATGGGCCTCCCTGCCCGCCCTGAACCTCAAGGTTCTTGTGCAATACCCAACTACTAACATACAAATCAGTCAAGAACATAATTATTTAGGGTCAGATTGTGACTTTATTATTTTATTAACCTTACTCTGCAAACCATCCAACTGACAGCAAAAAGGCTAATTTTTTGGCTATAAGTTCAGTCACATTAAACCTAAATCAAAGTGGCCTGACAAAGTTCAAAGTGATGGACTCTTTATCCTGCATACTTCCACATTTTTATGTTCCACCAAAATCTTAAAAGTTTGTGGACTTCTTTTAAGCAAACAACCTTTTGTAACTTCTCCTTCACAAAAATCCACATAAATACTCAGTGCAGAATTTTTTCTATACCTCAGCCAAAACATACCTCTGGTTGGAGCAAAGCAGAAAGGAAAGTTGAAGGTGTCTTGCTCCAGTATCTCCAGTCACCTTAACAAATTCTGAATTGAACTTACAACAGAAAGAGTGCCATAGAATTCCCTTACTTAAAATACAGCTACTCTCCACTTAAGCAGAATTCTGCCTAATTTCTTTTTACACAGCAATATACCATCCATGAATAAATCCATCCTAGAGTCCTTCATAAAATCAATTATTCAATGAGAAACTCAGCCTTTGGATGCTGAGATTGTGCTTTGCTTTTTCACTGTGAAGTGTTATCAAAATTCCAGCTTCCAAACCATCATCAGTTTATCACAATAATTTCTGACAGCACTGCTAGAATTTTAGAAGGCAAATCCTACTTCATTACAATGCAAATGAGCTCTAGTGCATTCACAGATCCTTTGAGCACACCACATCTCTCTCAGGCTGTGATGTCTAAGAACAATAGAGAACATTCACAGGAAACAAATCAGCCTACGTAACAGTCCATAGTGTTTTTACAAGTGTGGGCTATTTTTTTATGTCTAAAAAAGGGTCCACTCAGTGTTGATTAGTCTATTCTAGGCATTCTTCAGCATACCATGACATTCTTCCCATCAAAACAAACTATCAACACTGAAGTCAAAACGGTGTTTCTTGTTGTGGGATGAACTTTAGAAAAAGCTATAAACAGTTCCAAAACAGAGGGGGAAAAGCCCGACTCAAAACTCCTAAGTTTGAGGAACAAGACAAAGCAGACTGAAGTCTTCCTAAAAGCTGTCAGACTGGGGCCACACAACGCCAAGAAAACAGAGTAATCACAAGTAATTTCCTTTTTGGCCCTCCCACCCACTGACATAGCAGCAGGAGTCAGTAGAAAAAAAAAACAAAACAACCTACTTGCTGGATGAGCACACAGCACTGGTGAGATTTCAGTCTATAGCCACACTCAGTTATCTTCTGTGCTAGTTAAGCCAGTTATCTTGTGTGTTAGTGAAGATAAAATACCAGCTTTTAAAAAGCTATTCCAGAGTAAAGGAAAGCTTTTAGCACCGTTATATTCAGAAAGCTGTTTTTCAAAAATAAAACACTCCCTCATGTACTGTAAACTCCAGAACAATTAAGTCAGACTCAGAAGAATAAGTCAATATTTTTCTTGGCACAAACCTGAGTCTGGGCATTCAATACTGCTGTTCTGATAACACTGAGAACCACATAAAGTCAGTAATAATACAAATTAACTGAAGATACTCAGGTGTAGTTCCCAGCTAGGGAGGAAGCTAACACACAGAAATAAGGGCTTCCATTTGCTGTTGTGGGGGCAATTACTGCCAGGAACCAGGACCTGGTAAGTCTCTAGGATTTGCTGTGCTTTCTGAAGAAGTCTGGGGGAAAAAAAGCAGGGAGAGAAATAGTGTTTTCAAGACAAACAACCACCTGAGAGTAGAGCATCACGGCCATGGCCACAACACGGCCCAGTTTCACACTAGATTTCAAAGCTGAGCTTCTGCTTTGCATGGGCCCAACCTTGTACTCTTTACTCAATCAAAACTCCCAGTCAACTGAAAGGCAACTACAAGAGTGTTTGCACTGTCTACACTGTTTCAAAGACCTTTGGGGTCTGCATTTACTGCAAGTCAGGCAAATGTCTATTGCTGCAAAAAATACCAAAAAGCATCCCCAGCGATCTGTCCCAAAGAGAAGAAGCTACAGAAGTCTTTATACACAAGTTCTTCTTCCTATATTCTGGAGAACGTCTTCCATCTGAACTTTTAGGTAACCCAGAGGTACATGCCTAGTTTGTTTAATTACTGTAACTGTATTTTCTTTTTCTTATAACCTGCCCACCTTCATAGGTACAATATACACTGCTGAAATCCAAAAAGAAATCACCATTCACAGGGCATTGATTATTTAGGGTCAAGGACATCACTATATTTATTTGGCTGGCAGTAACTGATTTTGTACTGAAGCCACAAAGAGGAAGCTGGGAATCAAAACAACACAACAGAAATGGGAATCTGCCAGGTTTGTTGCGAAATACACAGATTAATAGCAAAAGTCTTCTCCCCTCTTCCCAAAAATAAGAAATGCGGAGCAACCAATCTAGCAAGACCAAATTCAGACTTGCTTGTGAGACGATACAATGCTGAAGTTGCACCTGGTAAGAGCCTGGCCCATTATGTATAATTAAATTGTTTTGGAACAGTGTGTGCTATAGACCAGTAATTATTTCAGGGTGCAATATTAATTACATATCTTCCTGACACTATACCTAGTTCAACATATATGAGCATAAATATTTTGAAAAATCTGTATTTTTATGTGTTACAGTGGAGAAAATTCAACCACAGTCCATGCAGATGCTAACATGCTGTCTAGCTGAGATTGAAAATTAGGCCTGAATTCCCTGCAAAACACCTATCATAAGACAGCAGCTTTCTCTAAAGGCTGTCTGCATGGAAATTCAATATCAGGCTTCAGATCAGAATTTACTGTATCTTTTTTGGGTACTGTTACTGGATGCAGAGTTATCAGTCTCAGTCATCAGAAAAATGGCACTGGAACCTTTGTTTAGCATGCATTTAGTACTTAAGAGCCAGAGTCAATTTCCAAAAGATGATCTGCATTTCCCCACAAGTTGAAAATGTTATTTTTGCTCAGTCCTTTACATCAAAATCATGCAGGAAAAGGCCTTGTAAAAGTGGGTGCAAAATATCTTGCAAACTACTTCCAGGATCTGGCATTGTCACACACATGGTGCCTGGCTTGCAGTAGCCCGTGAATGTGTCTCAGGTGATCCAGATGTAAAATTGCATCAAACATACTCACCCCTCCTCAGAGCTGCTGCTGAAAAGTTTTTTGAAAAGCATTATTACAGTGAAATTCTGAAGTGTTATTTCTTACCTGGTAACTTGCAATTGCCAATGTGCACACAATTAGGAGGGCAGGTGCTTCCATGTGCTGACAAATGCCGTGGGAATTAATGAATAGGGCACAGTTGTTATGCTGTTCCATACATCCAGCGTGGGATCGTAGCAGTCCAATGTTTTGCACCTCTGAATGCCAAAGTAGCCTCCAACCACATACAATTTGTTTCCAGATGCCACTGCATGGCAGCTCATTCGCTTTGCTGTCACATCTCCCACCTTAGTCCACTGGTATGCCTCACTGTTGAACTTATAAGCAGAGCATGCAGAGAATTCAGTATCTCCACCCATAATAAAAATCTGGTTTCCCAGAACAGCTGCAGCTGTGTAGCGCCAGGGCTGCGGGCAGGTGGCTGGTACTGTCCATCTGTTTTCACACTGATCGTAGCACTGGACTTTGGGCAGCTTGTCATGACTAACACTGGTACCACCAAAAGCAAACAGCTTCAGCTTTGCACTGACTACAGCTGCATTGCTTACTCCCTCTCGCAGTGGGGCAACCATGGTCCACTTGTTCGTCACGGGGTCATACTGTTCTACTTGCTTTAAGGATACTGAAGGGGAAGCTGGAAGGCAGCCAGTTGCTGCAGTGTGCCCTCCTACTACATACAAACAGTGCTTAAGTTCAGCAGAGCCGTGGCCAAACCTAGCTACCAGCATGGGAGCAGCCTTCGACCACTCCTCATGAAGGGTGTCATACACCCACACATCTTTGGAGACTCCATTTTCTGATCCTCGTCCCCCAGTGATATACACTTTGCAGCCTATGGCACAAGCACTGAACTCTTTCCGTGGGCTTGGAATGTCAGCCTTTGGAATGATCTCCTTTGCCTTTTGATCCACCAAATACAGCTTGTCACACATAAAGGTTTGGCCACCCAAAAGAAAAAGGGAATGGCCAGTTTTTCGGGGTCTGGCACACAAGCTGGTAACCACTCCATCATTCTGTAAGATCTTCAACTTGCATCTTATTGATTCTTCTACAATCTCCTTGCTTTTCCTTTGCTTGGTGATAAGTTCTTCCATGGCCACATTCTCCATAAGGTATATGGCTGGCAAAAGGGCCAGTCTCACTGTCTGCAGGAGCTCTGGCAGGTAACAGTGACGCTTATTCAGGTCATAGTTGACCCAGTTGATAGCTGATTCATATACCAGCCTTTCATCTTCAGTTTCTAATTCTTCACTGGAAAGGAGTTGCACTACCATGTCTTTTGGCAGCTGGAGGAAGTCTTCACTTTTACTGATACTCTGAAAGTTGCTAAGGCACATCCTCCAAGAGAGCTCATACAGCTTGGTACACTGGTGAGCATCCGACAGCAGCAACATACCAAGACAGTTGGTGGGATGAAGGTTTTTCTCCAGAAATTCTGCACAAGCATCTCGAATGTCCTGAAACTCCAGCATGTCACCAGCCTCCAGCAGCGACTCTGCATTTTCCTCATTGATAATAACTCTGGAGGAATATGCATAGTCCAGAAGAAGCTCCAGGACTTCTGGGTGAATAGAATTGTGAAAGTTGACTTCACTGTCCTGGCTCTCTTTCAGTCCTCCACTGAACATTGCTTCAAAATAGCGGCTACAAGCAGCTAGAACTGCTCTGTGGCAGGGGAATGACCTGTTTCCAGCATGGAGAAGTACATCTGTAAAGAGACGCTGCTGACGCAGGAGGTTTAGGTGAGTAAGGACACTATCAGCATAGGATGACTTGTGGAACAAGTATATGTTTATGGAGCCAGTACTGGCCCTAGACTTGCGATTTTCATGCATGCTGACCGACATTTTCTTTCACACCTATAAGCAAAGAAAAAAATTAATATGAATAAAAATCAAAAACATTATTAGTTTTACATATCAAAAAGTGTGTCTATTATTTACTATAGGATGGGGGAGAAAAAGCCTTAATTTACAGCTGAGTGGACAGAGAATTACATCTACCTTCAGCATGCGTTTACTTTTTTGTAAGATGAGATTCATAAATGACATAGTCTAAATTTGTTGCCCAAGAGCAGGTTTATCCTGGGAAACCTGATCTCCAACTTTCATAGCAATAGAGTAAGCAAGTAAGTTGAAGAAAGAAAATTAACCAGGACTGATTTTCTCACCCTTCCCCAACCCAGACCAGCTGATTCATTACATACATACACATGCACACGCTTGAAACATTCTCCTGTACTGAATCATAGCAGGAAGAGTTACCAGACAGAATACCTAAGGAATGTCAAAAGCTGCATAGGGAACAAAAACCTACTAATCCCATTAGGAAGTTTCCCTTTGGTATAGTGATTCCATATGCAACAGCACAAAATGAAAAAAAGGAAAGACCCAAACTTTAAAATAAAATGCCGTTATCAACCATACATTTAGACTTGTGTAACTGTAAAAAAAAAAATTATTAGCAAATTCTACAGATTCCAACTTTATTCCACATCCACAGAATTCAGTGTCTGCTTGCAATTGTGATATAGCATATATATAGGCAGGGTCAGCAGAAAAACATATTTTTCTATAGGACTACCTGCCAAAGTCACAGAGTCACTGCCTCCGAAACCACCTAGAGAGTCAGGTTCTCAGAGCTTAAGCCATTAGTTCATTCTGAAGTTCTGAGAAGGCATAAAACAGACCAGGAAAAGGCCCTATTCCTAACAAACAAAACGCTACTCAGATTCTGTTTAGAGGTGAATATTACTGTTACCTGCCATGATATGCAGGTCTATGTACAATTAAAGCAGCAAGTTTCCAGATTTAACTAAGGGTCAAGTCAAAATAGTATGGGTACGGGGTAAGGGAGGAATATTGGTAGCATTATAAAACTAATGGCCAAAAAAACACAGCACAAATAGTAGGAGATGAAACATACAGAACTCAGTGCAAGCTGTGGCTGATACTGGGATAATCTCACTTCTGTCTCTTCAAACTGCAGAGAAAACACAGAGAAAGCCAAGAACCAAACTTGCCTAATTACTATGCCATTTGCATGTCCAGAATACCTTTTACTGCACCTTCAAATAAGGAACTGGCCAAAAGATCTACCTGGAAAGTATGCAATATCCTAAATCAGAGAGCATGATCTGGGACCAGTTGTGAAGGTTTTTAATGTGGATATGCTTTGTTCTCACACAGACTTTTGTATAGTTGAGCATCTTTAAGCAGTACAGAATTGTAGAATTTTGTTCCCACATTTCATGCTTCAAGATAATACAAGAGCTTTACAAGCCTCAAAAATAGCATTTTTTAATACATGCATTTTTCTAGATTCATATGACCAGAAACATTGACAAAATCAAAACCACATGGACAGCAGTCCCCATTTCAGAACAAGCAATCTGTGTTTATGGGACATGCAACACCTGCAGTCTAACTGCAGCACAGCCAGTACCACTATCTGTGCTAATATAATTGATTCACTATATTGAACAACGGCAAGTTTGTGATACACCTTTCCCTTCAGTTACAGGAGACAAAGAGCCCTTAAACCCAGCTTAAAGTAAGGAATAGAGACACCTTACTGTAAAATACCATAGCTCATTTCCTTTAATATGAAACAAAATTTGCATGATGAAACTTAACTGCGTTTGAAAAGTAATGTATATTTGCACAATCCAAAGTCTTCCAAAACAGAAAGGAGTAATACACATCAGAGCTACAAGGCAGAGTATCTGTCTCACTCTGCCATGACACAGCTTAGAAAGGGATCATACCAATGCTAGACCAACCTATTAAATGCACTAAGCACAGAACAACTTAAGGCAGCTGGTATGTCTTCAAAACACAAACTCCTTTAAAGGAAAATTAAATGACCGTTAATGAAGTTGTATTGTCTGGCAAAAAAATACCCAGATGGCATTTAAGGATCTTGAGCACTAATCTCAGACTAAAATAACCCACTTAACCTATAGCCAAAAATAAGATACTGACCATTTACAGGTTGAAATCTCCTGGAACTGAAGGATTACAGAAAGGTCATGGCCTGAAATACTAGTATACAAGCAGTTTGAAGACACAGATAGGAAGCTGAACACTTTACTGTCAAATTTTCCTAACTTTTCCAGGCACCTTACTGTTTTAAAAGCTGTTATATGCAAGGCATAGTATTCACTGGATCCCTTTAGGTAGGATTTCCTCACACAGAGGATTTACTCTTTCAATATTCCTCACCAGGGAGCAAGATGAGAGCTCAACACCCCACTGATCAGAGACAACAGAATAACCAGTATCTGAATATGCTCGCTGCCTCCCACCCTCCATTCCAGTTAACTCAATGTGTGTGTAGACATCACAGGCTAGGCATATCAGGATCTTTATGAAAACACAGATTCTCTTTTTTGCCCCCATATATTAGGAGAATTAAGAGCATACTGAAAACTTTCTTTCATAATGCACACAGGGTTCAGAAATTGGGCAGGTAAAGTTCACATCAGAGGCTGCAAATGCAGGCATTTAGATCTTCCACCAGGCTGTGTACTCCCATGAGCAACGCTTGTTCAGCACCATTCAGAATGAGCCCATAACCACAACAAAATAGAGGCAAACAAAAAAAACACCCTGCAGTTATGCATACAGTAGAGGCTAGTGAACTACGGACCACATGCAGAGGGGAGGAACAGATCACTGTCTGTTACTCAAAGCCCACCCACAGTCATAGTAACAAATACCACTTCAAAAAAAAACTTACAAATTTGTATAAAAACCCTTCTCAATCAGCCACTGAATAAGGCACTCAGCATTTCACCCTACTATAAAAGAAGACTGTCTCTAGGTGAGAAGTAGATTTCATACATGCTGGTCTTGAACTGTAAGATTGGCTTTATCATCACAATGTCATCTATTGAGAGGAATTCAAAATATGCCAATTCACATTTAAGATAAGCCAACATATTTCCCCAAAGAGAACAAAGATACATATCTAGATACATCTTTTTCCTCCAGTGTGGTGCTGAGATGAGTTTGCCCACCAGCTGAACACCCTTAGGAGCACGTATCATCATTCACTAAAAGGCAGGGCTTCTGTAAATAGCCTTCCTGAGTCTCTGGCAACTACGTCAATCCAAAATCTTGTAAGAATATTATAATGCAAAAATGACATCTCCAATTTCTCTGTTTGGTGCTGGAAATTATGCAAACCTCAAATAGTTCAGCAGAGGTAATTTACAGTCAGTGATCAAGTGTTCATCTTGAATAATATTAGACAATTCCCTTCAGGCATTTTTTTCCTCAGAAATAGTATTTGTATGTAAAAGACAAGAAGTGGTCAGTAAATTACAGATACAGATTTTATCTAGGAACAGAGGTTGAACCAAGACTTTGATTTATAATTACACTTCAACAGGCTACTTGTCACAGCAGCCCAGAAGTAAACATTCTTTAAGACTAAACAACAGGCTCCTTGTCCTACTTAACAGTTCTATAGCATGCAGGTTTCAGCCTAAATCAAATTAAAAATGAAGTATTTTCAAATTACCGACACATCCCTGATGCATGCTCATTTTAATACGACTGTGTAATTACACAGTGGTGGTTGCGTTTTTCTTAGAATCAGTGGAACAGCTGAAACAGAGGAAATATACTAATCATCCCATCGATGTAACTAAAACCGCTTTCAATTGCTAAATCTGCACCGATGCTCTATCAGTGCGGCAGAGGCAAACTGTGACACTGCCTGAAGTCTTCAAACTCAGTGTCTGCCTAGGACCTACAGCGAGACAGAAAGCAGAACACGCTGCTCCTGCTAGGAATGCACTGCAGCTCACCGCATGCAAACAAAGAAACGCAACTCTAAATTCCCCTCCGTTTGCCCCATCAAAACGCCTAGATAACTCCATCTCTGAGAAGAAATTTACAGAGCTTTTTCCCAGACTGATATAAAAACCAGTGCGAGAAGCGAAAATGTATTTGGTTTCCTTTATAGAGCAATAACCACGTGCAAAAGTTTCTGTACCGGCGCAGGGAGAGCAGCGCCGCAGCCAGCTCAGGGAGAAAAGAGGCGCTCGCTCATTCCCTGCCCTGCCTCACGCCCGCTGAGGGATGCTCCGGACCGCCCGGGACCCCAGGCAGGAAGCTGAAGTCCAGCGGGGAAGCCAGCAGCTTCTCTAATAGAGCCGACGCTTTCCAAGGGCAGCCGAGTACAGGAGACAGAAAATCATCGCGAATGCCTACCCACCAGTGCCCCGCTGGTACCTGGCGTTCCTGACAGGGCAGAGGAGCGCCGGGCTCCGTCTGTGCTGGGGACTAACAAGGCAACCCGACTCCAGCCGGAGAAGCAGCGCGGCGGCAGCTCTGCCCGCCAGCTCTGCCCCGCCACTGCCCGCCCGCCTCCCCTCCGTGCCGGGAGCTGCAGCGGCTCGGCGGCACCAACTTACAGCAGCGGCTCCCGGGAGAGCGCGGAGGTCCCTGGGCGACGCAGCGCCGCGCATGGGAGAGCAGCTGGGCTGAGCCGGTTCGGCGGTGCCGGGACGCGGCGGGCGAGCAGCAGCGCCGAGAGCCGCGCAGCGCCGGGCGGAGCTGGTGCCACTGGCGGGAGGCGGGTCGCGGAAGGAGGGCGGGAGGTAGGGAAGAGGGACGGAAGAAAGGGAAAGGGTGGCTGCTGCTACCGCTGGCACGCCGGCCGCAGCTCTGCCCCGGCGCCGGAGCGGGGAAGGGGTATATGGGCTGGGGGGCGGGGGGAGGCTTTATGCAAAGCCTGTGAGTGACAGGCGGGGGAGGGACGGCAGGATGAGGGTAGCGAGCTCGCAGTTGCCGTCCCGGCCAGCGGCAGGGAAAGCGTAGTCGGGGCCTCATGTCGCCCCGGACGGGGGCTGCTGGATGTCCGCTCCTTCCTGCCCTTCCTAAGCTGCCCCGCACCCGACCGGGGCGGCGTGGGGGCCCCGGGGGGCCGGGCGGAGCAGCCACTCGCTGTACGAGCTCCTGCACCGCGCTCCGAATGAACAAGGGGTGCGCGGACACCAAAACAGCTGCGCGGGATGGGGAGAGCCGCTCGGCCGGGAAGAGTCCCGAACCTCCTGGCGTGTCCCGTTGGGTGGCGAAGACCGAGCAAGGCAGACGGCGGGAAGCTCCTCCTCGGCGCCCTGGGACCGGCCGGGAGAGCGCGGAGGAGCCCGGGCATCGCGGGCTGTGAGCCCGCCGCCGAGCGCTGCTCCTCCCGCGGCGGGGCGGTGCCGCGGAGCTACCGCGGGCCGTGCGGCCGCTGCGCTCTCGGGAGGCCTTGACAGAGCTGCCGTTTCATAGCTGCCCAGTGGAGAGCTCCCGCAGCACAAAGGGAACCCTGGCTTTAATTATTTCCCAGTTAAGAAAGTATGTGAAAAACGCATTTGTGCAAAAGGCCGATTTCAACAATAAACGTAACAATAGACATAACAACAGTGTTTACATAGTGGTATTGTGTGGCTCTGTACAAGAAAAACAAGGTTCCGTACTAAACATTGCACATATTGCTTACTAGTTGCTAATATCACTTAAAGCAATGGTATTAGTCTAGAGAGGCTTTAAGGAAGATAAGAACAATTACTCGAACCAACAGGTAGCTTGTTTTTGAATATAACACTTTGGAGAATTTGCTTATTCTTCATAATGAAGTGTCACCCAAACTTCTGTTGAAAAAAAGAATGCCCTGCAAGCAATTTGCTAACATCCAGAGGGTTATTTGTATTTGTGTTGCTGGACTCCAGAGTCTGCAGATTAGCACACACTTAGTGTACAGCAGGCCACATCTGTAATTCCAGACAGCCTGTGGGCATATGCAAGCCTGGAGAGCATAGCTGAACAGGGAGCAGATGAAAGAGTAATTTGTTTCATAGATTATTTTTTTTTCACAATATTGTTTTATTACAACATGAAGTATTGCATGGTCTAAAAATGTTGCACATCTGTATGTAATAAAGAATGTTTCAAAGTTGTTTAGGTGTGTGAAGCTATTGTAAACAACCTTGCACAAGGGGTACTCATGGGCATTAATGTTCTCTTGAGTCATGTACCTGTAGAGGATTTTGGATTAGACTGTAAACGTTCAAACTTTGTTACACATGTATTGTCCATCCTACAAGTCCAGGTTTTTCCTTTCATCGTAACATAAATGTAAAATGCTTTGATTTTTTCCACATTTCCGCACAACTGAACCTGCAGAGATTCTACCCAAATCCTGTCCATTATGGTGAATCTTCCACAATCTGGTGCCAGAAAATCAGATTATCTCATTCTATGCAACTAAAAACACAGGGACACATTACTTCATACAGTTAGGAAAATCTTTGAACAGGCATAGTTATTTATCACTATGAGTGATAAGCCAAAAGGATAGAATAATGTTACCTATATATTGCTTAGCAACATCTGAACTATAGCTGTAAGGAATGGTCAGTGAAAAATGAGATCCACAGAGAGGACAACATATGTTATTTACATATATGCCCACAGCATGCAGATTTGGGCAGTACCCTGCATGAAAAAAATGGGGCAATAATCCTGTAAGCAAATGACCAGATGAAGTACTGATCTTCCTTTTTTTCCATGAATTGAGGAACCTGTTGAAGTTAATCGGGGCAGAATGATTGGATGAAGCTTTAAGTCATCTGTTGGGGAAACAAGTACACAGCCAGACAGATCCCTCTGTGTGTGTAAAGCAGTGGTACTGGTTGAAAGCAGAGAGAGAAGGAAAAGAAAAAGGAGCTCCACAGTCCATGCTTACAAACAGCAGTTGTTCTTTTGGATGTGCTCAATTGAGGTCTTATTTATGTTTAAGTGAAAAAACACCCAAAGTGTTTCTTCTTTCTGCACAGGAGTTAGAAGTAGATAGGTTTGTCTGAATACAGCTTATAGCACATTTAGAGTAAGAATGCTTGTTTTGCTAGCATGGAAAAAACACTCAGGAAATTAACTTGGTCCAAGCAAATCTTTGGCCTGGTTTATGTTGGTCTGAGAATTAAGTCAGATCACAGTTAAGCACTATTCTGGTTAAGCCAGTTTTGTAGATGGGCCAATCTGTATTTTGACATTGCTGAAAACAAAGCTGGCCAAGGCTATTCCAGGACATAGTTGAACATGCCCGCTGAACTAGTTGAAACATGTTTCTCCTAGTATTAGTATGCCAGGATAGATAGGATCTTTGCAATGTTGCTAAATATCATGATTTTATCACAAATCACAAGATAATTGGCCCTTTTCTCAAAGCCTCAGCTTCTAGAGTCATGTGAAATTGATAATCTTTTAGGGTTGGTTTTGTTGTTTGTTTGTTTGTTTGTTTTTAAGAAGAAGCCTAAAAGAATGAGTATGTCAATATAAACCCCTAAATATTTTCATTTTAATCTCTAGAATTTAAAGTGCCACATTTGACTCCAAAAACATTGGCAGAGGAAAATCTTCATTGAATTGAAATCCAGCTTGCTTGCTATGCAGAGAATACTGCTGTTTTAACTAAATTATTTCACCTTGCTCTGTATTTAAATTGGTTTGGCTTCTGTGTGGAGACAAGCTCTTGGAACCTTGAATGTATAGCAAACTTTATCATATGGCTTTATTGACACTTAAATATTTTGCAGGCATAGCTATGCAGCTAAAAGATCTCCCAGATTACCCTAGCAGCACCAGCAAGAATACTTACACGGGCAGAGCTGTACTGATAAAATAATCCATTTACCAGAGGAGATTATTTCACTTAGGAGATGGAAATATGTATTTTATTTTGTTTAGTTAGTATCAGCTGCATCTAAACTAGCAGGGTTTGCCAGTACTATCTTGGCAAGCCTTTCAAATGCAAACAGGCAATATGTGCCTGCAGCACAGTCTGAGATCTCATTTTTAATGCTATTAAACAGCTGTGTCTTGGGCTTTTGCCTTGTTAGACTCTTTTTAACCACATTATTTTGTTCAACTGCTAAATAAACAGCATGGGGGTTAAATGTATTAGTGTAATTTATCTTCTTTCCTTCCTAATTTACACTTTGAATGAATTAATTAGAATGATTTAATTAACAATGTACAATAGCAGTACTAGTGCCAGAGCCCTCCCAGGGGGATGGGGCCTGGAACACCCCTAAGTGACCCACACCTGCTTTTCTTATCATTTGCCTTTGATGTGCTTCTCCAGGCTGGTCTGCAAACAGAGATTTGCGTGCGAAACACCACAATGCTTTATAGTGCTTGTTTAGTCCTAGAGACATACTATAAGTGTTTGGGGAGGTCAGTATTTCTTAGCAACAATTACACCAGTGTGTCCACCAGTTCTGGGGTGAGAAATCCCTCTTTACCCAGTTCTGCCTTTCTCATCTGTGTGTGTGTTTGTTTTCAAAAGGATTACATTCTGACAGGCTGGCCATTAGATATCATTCCTTCATGTCATGACAGCTCAGACCAAAAGGAAGAGAAAATACCTGCTGCTGTCTAAACCAGCAGCACACAGGTGCAAATACAGTTGTATGTGACATAATAACTGCTCCTCTCCAAAGTATCAGTGTGGTAAATTGTTGTGAGGTGTGAGTCCCTTGTCACTTTTAAAGTATATGAACACTAGCCCATTTGAAGTCAGTGAGTTATGCCATAATATTATAGGAAAGAGACAGGAAAAGTCAGGCCTTGGTTTCCATTCCATGAATACGTTTTGTACAAAAGATTTTCAGAAAGACCAATTTGGGTGTAAATAATGTAATTAATACGAATAATGTCCAGAGTGAGAAAGTTTTCCTTTTGAAATTTCTTGATTCTTAGGAGAAACCCTTATAAAGCCTGACTATTGCATCTAGTCCAGAATCTGTACTTCCAGCAGTATGTACTTACAAAGATAAGCAGTATGGAGAAAAAAAAAAGTCTCAAGACTCCAAGGAGAATCCACTCACTTTTCTTTTGTATGTAATTCCTCTGCTCATCTTATCTTTTTCCATTTTGTCTTGGTCTCTATTTACTCCTCAAAATCTCTGCCATAAAAACATTTTTACCTATTTTATATTGTCTGTTCTCCTCCTTAATAAGTGATTTCTGTTCATAGCAGATAGTGATGATGACGACCCATTTTTGTGCAAGTTTGATTAGTAAGGGGTCCCATTTATTACTGATATGCAAGCCCTTCCCAAAGATACGTGGATCAGCACAGGACTGGGAATACCACTGCAAAGGTTGAGTGGTTGCTGCCACTTCTGTTATCACTCATGATGATACTTGGCAAAAGTCATACGTTGATTGTCAGGAGATTTCAGTTTCCTGTGCATATCTTTGCTGGCTATTCCCATCTCTTAAGCAACTCCATGCTGAGTAATTTTCTTGCCTCTCTACAGGA